ACCCTACAATTTGGCAACATAACAAATACATATAAACAATTAAATTTAGCTGGTGTAGTTTATTTAAACATCCCTAAAATTCGGGAATAACGAACAAGGTTAATTTGTTTGATTTTTGAAAAATCGCAGTTTGATAACATGGGAAAAACGTATAAATAAAAAAATTAAACCAGTTTATTTTTGTAAGAAACCCTTAAGAGTATGGAAAGAAAGTAAAATTTGACAATAAGACAAATACATAAAGCAACCAAATTATACCGGTTTAGTTTATTAAAAAGACCTTAAATTTGAAAAAAAATAAAACGTACAATTTGGCAACATAACAAATGCTTACAATCAAATTTATTTAAAACGTACAATTTGGCAACAAGGCAAATTCGTATAAACCATGGGTCGGCAACCTTTTGTTGTAAGAGGGCCAAATATTTTGAGTGGGGAATAGTATTTGTTTTTTCGATAATTCAGAATTAAAAAAGTTTTCCCATAGAAATCCACCAAGTTAGTTTTTTCCTTAAAAGCTATTTTAAGTATATTATTTTGAAATTATTTCATATTCATTTACAAATCGCTTAGTAGATTATGGATAACCAGTGAGAAGGGGATTTCAAAAAACTCCAATTTACATGAGATATTTTTGAAATCAGCAAATCGGTTTTCAAACTCTTAATGCACTTTTCATTTTAGTATTTTGACAAACAAAATTTACCACAGCTTTTTTTCGGTTTATGATCTACGTGTATAAACCTAATATGCCAGTCTCAGTTTGTGTTTTTAAATTCTCAATCATGTGTGTTCTGTGTAGGCTTTGTGACTGTTTCCCAGCGCCACTTCAGGAACAGCACTGTTAATTAGAACCCAACAGTAAATGGTCGAGTGGGGAATCCTACCAAGGCATCAAAATTAATTTTAAATAATCAAATTAAATGAAAAAATCCCGGCCAACGGTGGAATTCGAACCTGAGATCCTTGGATCCGCAGGCAGAGACTACCACTAAGCCATCCACCCCCTCAGCTTCTGCTTTTTTGCAATTTGGAAAATGATCGAACTTTTTTTCATCAATATGCTTGATAACTAATGTCAGTTTTATTTCAAATGATTTAATATCTGAATACATATTGCATGCAAATTTGTTTTTTCCCTGTAAGCGTGTAATAGGGAAATTCAGTTCGGCGGTCAAATCAGTCAAAACCCAACTTCAACAACACACACGTTGTAGAAAAGTTCGTGTGTTGTATTTCCTTTCATCTACATGAAGTTACAAATATTCCTCAAATTAAAAAATCGTTGTACTGCTATTCGGCTTAGTAAGTCCATTTTTTCTTATAAAATTAATAGTAGATACAACGGTATCCATTATTTCTTTCCATGGTAAAACCTTGCAACGCAATGCTTCTTGATGGACAATACAATAAACTTTAATTGGAACGTCAGATCCGAACTCTTCCGACAACACTGTTATTATGGCCACTTACAAAAATTGTTTATAACTTCTCTAGAGTTTCAGGTGGTTCCATGTTGCACTAGAATTTAGAGATGAACAGTAGCAAACCCGTAAGTGGTAAGTTAATTCAAGGATTTGTTACTACCCATCTCTATATTCCCACGATATAACCGAACTTTGATTGTTGTTCAAGGACGAACTCAGCTGTTTCCTAACAGCTCAGGGAAATACAGAGTTATGAATTTTGCGTTATGTGTTGCGTTTGTGATCAAAGAAGCAGAAAACACAATAAATATATTGTAAGAGGAGGGCTCACTATTACCGAAAGAAAAAACACGCTATCGGAGAGAAATTAAAATAGAATATTTAAATACAAATTGCTGAAGGCCACATAATCCCGCACGAAATCGAAATTTGGCCACGAGCAACGAACGAATGAGTGCTAAAATAGCCTTCTGCGACGTGAGCTTTATACTATTTTCTCAATTTTGGGCCGTATTTACCATTTTTTTTTAATTTTGTATGGTCATTGTTAGTTGGGGATTTTTTCGCAAAATATGTCAGTTGGTAACACTGTTAGGTTGGAATTTATTTACTAGCAAAGTAATGAATGTTAAAAATGTTATGTTGGGAATGGGGTGTTAATACACTGCGACCTAAAAGATCTATTGTGTCCCCTTCTGTCGCTAATGCAGCAAGGAAATGTCTCAATGCCTATAACGACCATTTCAATCCTATCTTTTCAAGGAAGTGTAGGATTTGGAGTGGCTTCAAGTTAGGTAAATATGCCTCTTCTATTTGATATGCTCCTAGGTATAGTGCTCTTGGATTCTGGAGTGCTACACATTCAGTTAGAATGTGAATGAAGATTTAGTCCTCCTCCTCGCAGCTGCATTCACTATCTTCTACTACTCTCAGTTTACTAAGGTGTCCTTTTAGTCGGCAATGCCCAGTAAGGATCCCTGTTACAATAAGTAGCCTGTTCTTGCGCAGGCAGATGCAGGCTTCCGACCTTTTCTGGTTATATTCACCCAGAAGTATCTTAGCCTGTCTCAGCCCCAAGAGATTGTTCCAATTATCGGTTCTTCTACTGCCCAATTCTTTTTTAATCTTTCCTAATATTATGTTCCTGCTGATACCGCAGAACAGCTCAGGTCCCACAAAGGGTGTTTGAGCGCCTTTCCTTGCGAGACTATATGCAATCTCGTTACCCTGTACCCCGTTATGTCCCGGGACCCAATGAGAGTAACTCTATTTTTCTCGCCTAGCTCATTCAATTTTTCTAAGCATCTCCAGACCATTTTTGAGCTGATTATGTAAGAGCTCAGCGCTTTGATGGCTGCTTGGATATCGGACATGATGAAATATAATTCATAAATAAAATGAATTTAGCTCAAAGCCAGAATATCACATAAAATACAACGACCGTTTCCCCTTCAAAAAAACAACTACTCCTTTGGCTAATACCACAACAGGCATTGAATTACATCCGAAGGAAAAACAGCAGAGATAGAAATTAATTTTCAACGCTCTCTACTTTGATTTTGCTCACCAAGGAGAACATCATTCTTGAACCGGTTTCGTCCTTATTAAGACTCGTCAGCAAGAAATAGTAGGTTCTCAATTCCAGTCTCTAATGGAATTAACAAATGCTACACATTTCACCAGTATACCATAAATTTGGTTATAAAGAGAAAAAAAATTCAAGTAGTGAAAATGGTGTCGCCATTAATGGTGGTATACTGGTGAAATGTGTAGCATTTGTTAATTCCATTAGAGACTGGAATTGAGAACCTATCTATTTCTTGCTGACGAGTCTTAATAAGGACGAAACCGGTCCAATAATGATGTTCTACTTGGTGAGCAAAATCAAAGTAGAGATTGTTGAAAATTAATTTCTATCTCTGCTGTTTTTCCTTCGGATGTAATTCAATGCCTGTTGTGGTATTAGCCAAAGGAGTAGTTGTTTTTTTTTTTTTGAAGGGGAAAGGTCGTTGTATTTTATGTGATATTCTGGCTTTGAGCTAAATTCATTTTATTTCATTTTACATCTATCACATTTGAGTTTTGGTTTATTTTCGTTTTTTAAATATAATTCAGTTTATTCGCGATTCAAATTAATTTTCGCGCGCCTGTCATTTGTCACCTATAAGTAGGATGTTCGTTTATTTACATGTGTTTGTTTTGGGCAGATTTTGTATTTGTGATTTTTTTAACTGTTTTTGGATAATATTCTCACGTAATAGTGTTTTTGGGTTTCATTTAGTGTTAATTTTAGTTTATTTCTCGTGCTTTCGTCATAAATATAATATTTATCATGTGTATGACTTAATTTGTTGGAAATATTCACCTATTGGTTGCTACAAGAACATCTAGAAATATGTATTTACTAAACCCAGGACATGTTTTATTATGTGGTTTAAAGGACATTTCAGCTACCAAACGTTTATTATCGATGAACTTATTTAAAAAGCTTACTATCCTTATTCTTATATCATGAAGTTATTTGTGTAGTACCTTGTATACACGTAAATGGTAATTAAACCGTCACAAATCAGATTACAGTTTAATTCTAAACAAAGTTTTGCAAAATTTCAATATTGTGAATTTGTAGATATCCATTTATCACAAGAAACAAAATTTTACGACTTGCACTTGGAAAATAATGAATACTTCAGTTTTGATTTTGACATTAACACCATATAGATTGCAATTTGCTAGGGACTTTTTCGCAGATTTCATTTTTAATATAAACACTATCACATACTATAAGAAATAAACAAATTTAAAGCTAAAAAGTAAGAAAAAACTCGAATTGTAATTGATACAAGTTAAAATGTAAACAATGAACACGAACGCCAATGTTGCCAAATGATGAACTGATTTTAAAACAAAATTAATGAATGAACTGAAATTTAAAAAAAAAATCAATATAATAAATCGGTTTTATAAAAAAATCCTTAAATAAATATAGAGTATGATTACATATTACTAGACACAAATTTTTATTCTTAAATAAAAGATCTTATCCACTTCTTCAAGACCTAAAATCCGACGTGTAGCAACACTGAACGATATCCTACTTATAGGGAACTTCTACAAATTTCCTCCAGAGGACGTATCACTTAGTTTGAATCGCGAATAGTACATGAACATTTACCATAAAATTATAAATGGGCTGGGTTGGTTCAGTAGTTAGAGTCATGATATTGAGATCGGAGGGTCTCAGGTTGGAATCCCGCAGGTGGCAGGGATTTTTATTTAATTTAAAAAATTATGTATTAATTCTAATGCATAAGTAGGATTCCCCGCTCGACCATTCACTTGGGTTCTAATTAACAGTGCTGTTCCTAAAGTGACGCTGGGAAACAGTAACAAATCCTACACAGAACACAAGGCTAATAACCTAAGTAGTTGTGCCAATGACACAAAAAAAAACTCGATTAAAATCAATAAAAAATTATAGCACAGGAAAATTTAACATAACTTTGTAATAAAACATTTATCTCAGGAAGTATGACTAAGCTGTTGACTTTATATTCATAAAAAAGTACTTACCGTGATGATTCCCGTCCACTGGAACAAATTATTAGATCTGACAAACTCCCTAGCGTAATTTGAATGCTTGGTTAAGTACATATCAAAAGGAATTTCTGCTTCTTCCAGAACTGGAGCCACTTTGTCTTGGAACAGTTCCTTCGCTCTACCAGATCCACTTTTGGGGTTGCACAACACCAGCAATTTTCGGCTTTCCCTGTGTTTTTGACTAGATGAAAATTCCAAAATAGTGGAATTCGTGACGATGTCCCCTTTGATTAGTTTTTTTATTATCGTGCGCCATCTGCAATCAATATCAATAAGCTGCAGACGCAATGTAGGTACATCAAAATAAGGATGAATAGATTTCTTATTTGATGATATTTGAAAGTGTTTAAAATGTTTTTAACCTATGTAGAATAAAAACATGTATTTGATGTTAATTTTAGATGGTAGTACCTAACTAAATTTTAAGATGAAATACAGATATTTTAGAGCTTAAAATAAGCCGGTATCTACTATCTATTTTAATATTTAATAAATTACTTACAGATAATTCAAAAACACAATCAACAATAAGAACATGGTTTTGAAAAAATCGTATATTTCAGTTAAAACATCCATAAGTTTGGATGTTAACATGCTTCTTGATAACTTGACACGGGATTTCTAATAATAATTAATTTTTTTATCGAGCGATTTTGATGAATCAACAACCAATTTTAACAAACATATCCTATTGAATAAGTATTAAATTTCTTTTACCAGCCAAAGCGCAAAACAGGTCATTCATATTTCATGTATGCCACATAATAGTGGGTAAGAGAGTGTATGTGTAGGACTTGAATTGAAAATGAATTTCAAATTTGTATGTAGATGACCTTGAACTGATAATCAGGAGTACGCAATTTTGTTTTGTAGTTTTTTAAATAAAATAACTGATTTGAATTTATTTCAAATGAAAGAGAATAAAAGTAAATAATTTAAGACAGATGTTTTATTTATTTTCCTATTTTTGTAAATTAATTTTACTTATTTTTTATACATTTTTAAAATGAAAATTCCAAAATTCGGGCTTTTAAATTAGAAAATTTTCCTATATATGTTTCTTTTATTTTCTATTATTTTTTATTTATTAATAAAAATAAAAAATTGTCAAAAATTATCACGCTTAGGGTATATTTTATAATAACAAATAGTGAAATAATATACTGGGTGTGCAATTCTAGATGTTTACCGATTAGTACATCGGAGTCTCTGTAACAAAAATCGACTGCAAGTAAAATAACCTGTTGATCCCCTCAGACGTTTCAGTTGACCCTTATATTTGTATTTACCAAATATTTTAACTTAACTCTGTCAATAACAAAGTTTTTTTTTAATAATAGTTTTTATGAACAATTTTCCAGTATTTTTTAAAATGTTTGCCATAAATTGACAACGTCGCAAAATAAAAAAAGAAAACTTAGTATTGCAGGTGAAAAAATATACAGGGTCATTCATTTAAAAACATTGACATTTAATCTGAAGCTGTCCCTATTTAACGGAACACCCTGTATAATTCGAAGTAATTTTAAAATATGCGAAAAATAAACCCTATAACTTTTATAATAAAAAAATTAAAATAATTCCATTTCAAATATGACCAAGACCTAAAATAAAATATAAAATAAATCACAAAGCCATGTCACACAGAATAATATGGGCCACCCTTTCCCTTCGGAAAACAACTACACCATTGGATAATACCGCATCAGGCATTGAATTAGGCATTCCAAACAAAAGAACTGTCAGTGGGCAGGGTTGTTATATCTACCGGGTTGCGACATACGATGTATTTTATCTACAATACGTGAAATCATGAATAATGGATTAAATTTAAATATTTTATGTCGAACAAAATGAAAATATTATTTTTAAAAACTCGCTTATACATTTTTCATAAATTGGCACGACTGGCGACTACTATTTCGAATAAACATAGTGTGCAAGATGGATGGGTATGTCGCAGCCCCCTTAGATATACAAGCCCTTCCCACTGGCAGCTTGTTTGACAGGTCGTTGGAATGCCCAATTATATCCAAAGGAAAACAGCAGAGATAGAAAATTATTTTCAACATTAAATTTGTTTTTGTTTACTAAGCAGAACGTCATTCTTGGACCATTGTTGTCCATATTAGGACTCATCGGCCACAAGAGCGAGGAGGTTTAATAAGGCATTTGCAGGTTCCATTAGAGGCAGAAATCGAGAATGTCTATTCCTTGGTAATGAGTCCTAATAAGAACGAAACCAGTCCATGAATAACATTCTCCTTAGTAAGCAAAATCAAAGACAGAGTGAAAATAATTTTCTCTCTGCTTTTTCTTTGTATATAATTGAATGACTTTTGCTGTATTAGCGAAAGGAGTAGTTGTTTACCGAAGTAAAATTGTATGTGACATATGGCTTCATGATTTTTTTTTGGTCTTATGGCTTTGCTAGTATCTACCTAATTAGCCATTCTCAGTTTGTGATTTGATTTATTTTCACTAATGTGTACGCTTTGTTACTGTTTTTCAGCACCACTTCAGGAACAGTACTGTTAATTAGAACCCAACAGTGAATGGTTGGAGTGAGGAATCCTACCTATGCATCACATATTATTTTCAAATAAAAAAATCCCGTCTGACTTTTTTTAAACTGGGTATTACACTCAAGCTTTAATTTTGTTACTAAGGGGTCATAAGAGCTAGGAGATTCCATTAGAGGCTGGAATTGAGAAAGTCTATTCCTTACTGATGAGTCCTAATAAGGACGAAACCGATCCAACAATGACGTTGTAGTAAGCAAATTTAAAGTTAGAGGCTGGAATTGAGAAAGTCTATTCCTTACTGATGAGTCCTAATAAGGACGAAACCGATCCAAAAATGACGTTGTAGTAAGCAAATTTAAAGTTAGAGTGTGGAAAATAATTTTCAATCCATGCGGTTTTTCTTTGGATACCTGTTGCTGTATTAGCCAAAGGAGTAGTTGTATTCAATTTATTTTCGATTTTATTTTTGATAATTAAGTAATCACTAAATCAGGTGAGAAAATTTTAAAAATAGTGGAAATTTCCCTGGTCTTTCCGTCGGTAAAAACCGAGTTCTTCTACTTTTCTCAGTTTTTGAATTATTCGCGTATTTCTCGGCAAATGGGTTCATTTTACAGCAAATATTTTCCTCGATATTTTCGGACCACTTGTAGAAGTGATACTGTCTACCTCTATAATGTCTCTTGTAGCAGAAAATGTTCTGCTCTTCCTATTGGATAAAACAGCAAGTTTATATCTTCTATATTTTTCGAGATATTCGATAATTTATTGAGCGAGGTATGTATCTTATGATGTAAAATTTATGTAAGTTTGATTGCTCATGAAGGTGTTAATATTTGAAAGTCAGGCACAAAAATTTCTGGTATAGCAATACATTTTCTACTCTTTTCAATGGTGAAAATCGGAACATGTAACTTTCATATTTTTGTAATCATGCATTTTTTCAAGTGATTTTTTATTGTTCCTGGAAGTGGTAGTACTATTTGAAAATCAACCACAAAAATGCCTCATATTGCCGTCAATCTTTTGCTTTTTTCCTTTATGAATATTATAATATTCTAACTTTTTTGAGATATTTGTGAATTCGTCGGGTGATGTATTATGTGGGAAAAATTCTATGCAATAGGTATTTTGACTACTCATGGAAAGGGATAAGGTATTATCCCAATTTAAATATAACAGAACGACTGAAAACAGGAGGCATTAAACGAATATCGAAATTATGCTCTGGAGCCATAATCTCAACTATGGAAAAATGAGTGTGAGAGTTCTCTCACGATTTGGTCTTGCTGCGCATGTCAGTCGACTAAAATTATAAAGAATCATATTAACGGTGAAATTAGTGTTGCAAGCACGATGATTATCATATTTGTATGATATACTGAAAAAGTTCCCAATTTTTCGGAATTTTTATTTTCCAACTTACGAGCTAGATTGAATTTCTGTTGCATACACATGTTTTTGTAATATATTATTACATACGTACAATTAAAAATATTTTTACTTACAGGGTGATTCACAAATGTATGACGGTAGTTTTTTGCAAAATTTCACTAAGGGCCGATTCCACCGTTGTGTTAAACGAAGTTTAAATTGCCAATCTAAAATTAAAATGACATTTTAACATTAACAATATTATTTTAATCTTCGTTTAGTAATTTAAATTTCGTTTAACACAACGGTGGAATCGGCCTTAATTCTACTGTGACGTTAGGGAAGCATATTTTCAAAAAGTACTACTCAATATGGCATTTTGTCGACCAAATATTGCACAATACACATTTCTTATACAGGGTGTTTTATAGTGAGAACCACAAAATAAAATTATTTTTTTTTATATTTACTTCAAAACCCTGTACTTTTGGGAAAAGTAATATCAATAAAATATGTGTATCTCTAAGCTTTAAAATATACAAGGCGGCTTATTTGTTGGAAGAAATTCTATTTTAATAAAAGTATGAAAACCACGAACACCCTAAAATTTCTCTGGTCCCATTTTCTCGGTATATAAGATACAGTGGAGAAAAGCTAGATTGTATCTATGTAGAAATATATAAGTTTAATATAAGTTTTACTGAGATGTCCATTACAAGGGACAGTTTAAAACAGTTGCGGCTTGCGACCAAAATATTGGAGGTTCACAATGACAGAGAATATAGATGTCAATACATATATGTAGGTAAAAAACTTTCAGTGTTGTAGAAAGGTATAGGTATAGAAAGGTATATCCTGAAGACTGTAAAAGTTATTTACCTATATTGTGTCATTGTGAACCCCCAATATTTTGGACACAAGCCGCCACTGGTTTAAAATAATTGTTACAGGGTGCTTCACGAATAAATCACAATATCTTTTTGCAAACACTCAATAACTACAGTTGCACCATAGAGAAATTATTTGAGTTAATATATGTTTATACAGGGTGAGCCATCCAGCCAACATATAATTATGTTTTGAAATTATTAAAAAGACGACCTTGCATTTCTTTAGTGACTTTTGAATAAGTTAATAACATTACATTAGGTGTGTGGAATCATTAATTTTAAAATATACAGGATAATCTGTTTCTATTAGAACACCCTGTATAAGAAATGTGTACTGTATAATATTTTATTTCCAAAATACCATATTGTGTATTATTTTTTTTAAAATATGCTTCCCTAGCGTCACAGTAAAATTAATGAGATTTTGGAAAAACTGTAAACTGTCATACATTTGTGAATCACCCTGTAACTAAAAATATTTTTAATTATACGTATGTACTAATGTATTACTAAAACATATAGTAAACGAGTGTATACAACAGAAATTCAATCTAGCTCATAAGATTAAAAATAAAAGTTTCGAAAACTAGGCAATTTTAAATTTTAATACCCTGTTTATCGAAAAATAGTCATATGATTGAGTTGAGCCTATTGACACTTTTGGTTACTAGGTTGAGTATAATAACATACCAGTTTCAGAAAATTTGACAGGGCGTCACTTCACATAAGGAAATAAGTGCGGGGTCCTTTGGATAATGGATGTGTAAGTTTTAAACCTACATATTAAATGATAACATTTAAGACATATTTAATAGTATATTACGCAACAAGAGTTGTAAATAACCCATTACACACGAAGTGAAAAGTTTACGCACCAAGCCGCGCAGCGGCCAGTTCGTAAATTTCACGAGTGCGTAATGGGCTTACAACTCGTGTAACGTACTATACTTTTTCTACGCCCACTTAAAACATTCTCAAAAAAGGATTTAACGTTATGCTTGTGACACCAATCCATAAATTTTCTATAGGTAATTTCGTACCTTTTTTTGGATTTTAGCGGTAACAAATTATATGTGGCAGCTTAAGCTTTTTCTAAAATCTCCGGTGGAGTGCTCATAATTTCATCACTTTCACTGCTAACAAACATATTCGTAGGTAAAGTTGAGAAAATGTTCGGATACAATCATATTTTGTTACAAAAATGGCATAAATGGCATGACGTTTATTTCCATAGCTTGCTAAGAAAACGCGAGATATTTTTTGAAATATTGTATAACACGTTGCCGACATTTAGGGGCATCACTCTTTTAATCCAAAATGTATCTCCCTAATGCTAAAAGTTTTTATGTGTTTTAAATGGCTAAATTTATGTAAATCGACCAAACAAAGTCGTATGTAGACAAAAATTTGATTGCAATTTGATTAAACCAAGAAATTTAAGTTTTCTTATCAAAACGCACGTGTATGTTATGAGATCTCATTATGTGCATGTTATTGTTAAATGTCATTTACAAGGAATGTTGATGTGCGATTTTTAACGTTTACTGACATAGGCATAGAAAAGAATGTATAGACAAAAATAAACAAAAAAATCAAAATCAGAATGGATTACAAGAAATTATTTTTGAAACTTTAGCTGAACAAGAATAGGTTAAGTGTTATTTTTTCTTCTGTTTTTTGTATGTGTACTCAATAAAATTAATATCAAATTACCCTAACCCTATAAACTCCTAAATGAACCAGCTCTCCTTCAAACTAGTAGGATAAAATTGAAAAAAAAAACAAGATAATTTCTGCAGCATTGAACAATTTGATTTTGGTCGTCTGATAACACTGGTGATGAAGCAGTCGAGTAGGAGAGTGTAGGAGCACTTGATAAGTTCGAGAATATGGTACCCGGCCTAAATTAGGAGGAAAAAAGCAGAATTTTTATCCAGTTAGAAATAAATTTTTAAAAAATCTGACAATTGTCTTGATAAGATTAATTTTTATGCTATATGCACCACCAATAAAACTTTTTGCACACCTTCCCTTCAGTTACGGCAATTTCTTTACCATGAAGTTAGCCCAGCTCCCCCAATGTAGTTTTCGCAAAAAATCCGGTATGTACTGATGCACTCATATGCACCACCAAGAAAACTTTTTGCACCCCTCCCTTCAGTAGTTTCTGGAATTTCTTTACAATGATGATTTCACAATAAAAAATATATGAACCACCAATTTTTTGCATCCCCTTTCTTTAGTAATTAGTTACAGCAATGTTTTACCATGATGTAAGCCCACCCCAATGATGTTTTTGCAAAAAAAAATATTACACCCATATGCACTGCCAATAAAACCATTTGCATACCCTCCATTTAATAGTTACAGCCTTTTCTTTACTGTGAAGTTAATCCCTCTCAATGATATTTGAGCAAAAAAAAATTCACCGAAATTTAGTCATTTTGGTGGTGCATATGAGTGCAATAGTTTTTTTTGAAAAAACTTCATTGGTGGGGCTAACTTCACAGTAAAGAAACAGCTATAACTACTAAAGGAAGGGGGTGCAAAAAGTTTTATTAGTTGTGCATTACAACAGGGGCTAACTGATGCATAACAGTAAATCATAAAAAAATTATTTACTGGGAGGGGGAGAGCGTTCATTTGCTTTGTGAACATTCAGTATCTTTTAATATTTTTGCATAGACTACTAAAGACACGTGACCATGTCCATTTGTCTGAAAAAATAATTTTCAGAACATCTGTTCAAAATGTTAATATTAAACAAAATGCCTCATCGTTAAGGTTGCCAGATTTACGAGAGAGAAAAAAGCGTGGCGATGACAAGGGGGGGATGAAATGATTTTTTTAGTTGGGAGTTGGGACTAATAAAAAACGGAGTAAAAAAAACCTTTTTATACAAAGATAAACTCTAACAAACACAAAGTGTTGAACATTTAGACAAACAAATGAAATAGGTGAACAAATGACAATAAAATGACATGAAAAGACAAACATTTCATATTATACAGAGTGGCCCAAAAGTCTGGAAACGGCCAATTATCTCGTAAATTGCTAGTCCTAATTGTACAAAATTTGGGGTACACCTATTTTGGGATACGGTGATTCCAGATTTTATATTTGCAATGTTGCCAGATTTGCCGTTTCTCTTAAATTATTAGTCAATTTGGTTTTTCAAATTCATCATCCTGTATATTCAGTCATTTTTGGAATCTCCTATTCAATACGAGTTCAACCATATGTATTACTTATAATTTTATGTAGTTTGGAAGGTCTTAAATACATAAAATAAGTCTGGCACCGCCTAATTGTCTCAATACATTTTTTAATACAAACTATTTTCAACTACATTAAAACATAACAATTGAAAGATTATAACATTTTTAACATAATGGTTACTTTATCAAGTGTTCAAAATGTGCTTCATTTGTGAGTTGACAGTACCCTAATTGATGGTAGAATGGGTCTATCACATTTCTCCATGACTGTATTATTTATTTAAGACCTTCCAGACTACATAAAATCATAAGTGTTACATATGGTTGAACTCGTATTGAGTAGGAGATTCCAATAATGTGTAAATATACAAGGCGATGAATTTGAAAAACCAAAGTGACTAATAATAGAAGAGACAAGGCAAATCTGGCAACATTGCAAATATCAAATCTGGAATCTCTGTATCCCAAAATAGGTGTACTCCAAATTTTGTACAATTAGGATTAGCAATTTACGAGATATTTAGCCGTTTCCAGACTTTTGGGCCACTCCCTATAAAAAAAAAATCAAAATAAATTCTCAAAATAAAACAAAAACTTCTCAGATTGTTTTATTTTTAGCAACTATCGCCATCCTTTGAAACAAGGTATTTCTTAAAAGCTGTGCAGGTAAATGAAAGGCTGTATTTTATAAGTTTGAATTTAAAAAGCTATGCCTAAAGTGGGGCATCTGGCAACCCTACTCAACATCTTATCACAAAGTTCCTAAAATTATTCACTTATAATGTGGTCAGTTACCTTCAATTTTATTTTCTAAATTGGAATGTATCATTGCATATTTTCAGATGTGAGACTAAAAAGTTTCAAGATCATCTTCTGTTAAAAAAATTAGAAATAATAGAGCTTTACATACACTGGGTGTTTCCAAAGTAATCTGAAATATTGATGTGGGCATTTCTTCATTCAATTTTAAGACAAAAAGCTCCTTTAAACATGTGTGATAGGTTTTGTCTTTTATGAGATACAGGGTGTTGACTTTTTTATTATTTTAATAGAAGAAATAAATTGTGATAAACATAAAAATAGTATTACATTTCATAGGAGATGTTCAAAATGTGCATGTCCAGCTAAAATACAAGCATCGGTTCGATGGATTGGTAAATACGTTCGAAGAGGCCAGGACTGTTGTGAGTAACATTACAGCCTTGTATGATGCGATTTTGAATATCTTCTAAATTTAAAATCAGGTTTGATTACTTTGGAAGCACCCTGTATATAAAAAAAATAATTTACCTTTGGGCCTCCCTATTGTTGTCCTCAAACTTATCAAAAGACCTAAACCTTAGAGTAATTATAGTACGTTCTCTTTTCTTACTGGCAGCCTTTGTATCTTGAAACAAATAGGCATAGATATATAAGTAGGCACTGGTGTCATTCACGTCAAGATCCCCTGACGTCTCTTCGACGACCTCCAGGCTGGTTGATCTAGTGATTGACTGACACACACATCTCTTTGATTGTTTCTTGCTTCTCAGACATCTACAGCCTACTATATCCCTAATGGGTATCACTTGCTCTTTGAAATTTAACTCGCTTTCTTTGATCAAATGCAAGCCCTGTCTGGTCAAACGCACTTTGAATACGCAGTTTTTCTTAGTTAATACATAAAAGGTTTCTTCTAGAAGTATTTGATTTAGATTTTGATCATCTCTTTGTATATCCATTGCTAGAGTAGGATTGATATAGGTTGTATGGCACAGCACTCGTGTTTGATTATTATTTTGATTGGTACGTTTATTTTATCTATAATTATACTAATTTAATCATTTTCTAGAACATCCACTTAACTTTCTCATTGATGGTTTCTTTCGCGATTACTGGCTAATTCTGACTGAAGGTGTACTGCATTTTTGTTGTTATTGTTTGCGAGAAAATTATCTGACCTTCAACGATACAGTTCAATACCTCTTTTAAACAATTGGTTTTGTATTTTTTTCTCCATTTAATGGGATATTGCTACCTGTGATCGCAACAAATTTCACCTTTGGAAGTAAACAAATGCCAATACCATATGTACGTCTAGGCGCTTGGTGTCATAAATAATCAGGGAGAGTAGGGCAAAAAAATATTCAGATTTCTGATAAAAATAATAATTGTAAATACCGTAAGGTTATACTTTAGTTTTCAAATTAGTCCATTTCAAAAATTCAAAATACCTGAATTATCGCAAAAAGTTGTAAAAGAAAAATAGTTTGTGCAATAAAGAGTGGACATGATGGCCATATATCGCCCAAAAACGATGATAAGTTTGAGCACAATATGTCCCCAGACAGCACACACCAAATCCTTTGGATAACTACTGTACATCCCAATATCCACTAAATGTCCAGTCCAGGGTGGATATCTATTTTATATCCATGAGATGTATTATATATACATGCAAATGTCCATAAATAATAGTAATTATATAGCAAATTATTAAAAAATTACGCCATTGTGCTCGCCATTGTTGCTAATAGTACCGTTCAGATATTTAAAATTAATTTTTTTAAGGTGTATTCAATATCCCATGGACATCCACTAAATATATCAAAATCTAGGCGCGAACGCAAACCATGGTGGATATCCACTAGATGTAATTTTTGATTTTGCTTACTAAGTATAGATGGCGATACCACTTTCGCTCGTTGAATATCTACTCATGCTCAACCCGCCGTAACTGAGTTCGATCGAAATTAGTATCGCAATCAGACTCCATTAGAGACTGGAGTCGAGAATTTCCATTTATTGCTGAAGAGTCCTAATAAGGATGACGTTCTCCTTAGTGGGCAAAATCAAAGGCAGAGTGTTGAAATTATTTTTTATCTCTGCTATTTTCTTTCGACGTTATATCATTGGTTACTTATGAACCTTTACTAAAGATACCCATAAAATATTTTGCTGAATATCCGAATATTTTCTATATCCTGGGATATAGACGGACATTTGGATATCCATATTAGATCCACTGGATATATTGGATATCCACAAAAGATATTCTGTGGATATCTCTGGGATTTGGTGTGTTGTCTGGGTATTTGCCGGGAGTCCTCAATAATTAGTAGATTTGAATTAATGATTTTTGACTAGTCTGTACCTTTCGAACGGGAATACTCAAACTGTTACGCCAACACCTTCTAAAATTTTATGGCTTAATATTTATGACTTAATTTGTTTTAAATAGTTTTATTACAATTTATTAAAATTTACTTATGATTTCCATCTAAATATAAACGAATATACAGGCGGGTCCAGTTTATATCGTCAAGGATTTTACCAGTCTATAGTTTATCGAAAAATGAATAAGGTATAGTTTGTCAGATAAAAAGTGATGCAGTTTCCTTTTTGATGTACAGGGTATTTAAAGTTATTTTTCTACACCCGTATTATAATAATGCACTTATATGCCCATAATCCGTTTCATAATGATACCCATTATGATACAGATTTTTCATTATGATACAGATTTTTAATCAATAGAAACCTACAATTTTTCAATCAAGCATGATGTTTGACGTTTGTCCTAAATTCCTATGTAATTGTTTTAGTTGTCAAAACGTATTAAATTTTCGTAGATAGCTAAACTTCGATAATTATAATATTAAAATGTCTGATATCAGCGATATAGAACACTCCTCCACACATATAGGAGAAAGGAGAAAATGCAGTACAAAATATTTTGCCCCAAAAATCTGTGGTAATACCAGTACCCAAGGTAATACCATTAATTACAATTTTGTAGAATTTTTTATAGAAATACGAGTAATTACTGTTATTGTGTTCAATACCAATATAAATAGAATATTTATAGGTCTTGATTATTTATCGGGTGTAGAAAAAATAGCGTATGCAACTCTCATGTAATGGTTATTAAAACACTCGCATAAACCATACGAAACTCGCCTTTGGCTCGTTTCGTATCCCGGTTAATGCTCGTGTATTAATAACCATCATTACATGATCGTTGCATAATATACTATTTTTATTTTTTTATTAATAGCAGAAAAAAGATTTAACCGATTTTTAAGAAATTTTGACAGTTTTTTGACAACTTTATGAGGTAGGTGTCTATCGGACATGTTACAGTTGATTCAATAATTCCAGAGGAGTGCTCACAGATAACTTCGGCACACATATTATCGCTCAGTAGATTTTTTAAATTTTCATATTTTTTAAATCTACATAAAAACACAACTTTTTGCTTCTTAAATTTTTTTCGTTTATTATTTTATTTTCGAGAAAAAATTTAAACTAACAATTTTACATGTCTCTGAAAAGCTGAACTCTAAACAACAAAAATAAAGCAAAATTAGATCATAGTTTATTGTGGGCTTTACATTTGTCGATAAACTGTCGGCCGGTGAAATTCTGACGATATAAACTGAACATATATAGTGGATTGGCATTATTTGTCAATTACATACAAGAATCAAACATTTTTATTTTTTATTTCAATAACTAAAAAAAAAAAACACATCTAATCTGTAGGCTGGCTGACGAGTTAAGGGGGGCCTATCAATTTAGGAGGATGCACAATGGGCCTAGTGAAGCCTAAATGCCTTGGCGCAACCCACCCTTCATACGTTACAGATACTGACAATTAGTTTGACAGAATTGTCACTAATTTAAAATGTTTAATTGAATAGTCGGGTAGATAATAAATATGAACTCTATCTGGTCGAATTCATATTCGAGTCTTCAACAATACTCGTATCTTACATAATCTGGTAAAAAAAAAGAAATTCACTTCTTATAGTGACTTTTATGACAACTTATATATCGGTCTGTCAAATGGGTCATGACATGACATTTTTTTACACCTAATGCACATTTTGAACATGTTTTAATTGGATTTTGCCTGATAATTTTTTACGATATTGCAGCCAAGGCTTTGGAAAATTTATAAAATAATATGTATGCCTTTGAATGAATATACCGTGTGTCACTTTTACATAACAACATCGTTTCGTTGTTCCTTTCCATAAAGATAACATAATTATGATTGCAAAAATGTATTTGTCAATTAAGACACTAAGGACCGATTCCACCATTGTGTTAAACGAAGTTTAAAGTGACATTTTTACATCAACAATGTCATTTTTATCTCCGTTTAACACAACGGTGGAATCGGTCCTAAACTTATTATTATTTTACTTTTTCTTCCTTTTTTAAATGAATATAAGTACTTAAATTATTATTTATCGATTATAATTTTTTTCACTTGGACATTTTAACATGCTTGTTTACAAAAATAGTACGAAAAAGATGGCAGATACTGACGCATGCGCACAAAAAAAAATTGTGATGAAAAGGTCTATTGGAATTAGCTGCGATGTTAATGCTAAACAGTGATGTGTGAAAATCACTGCAATCTGACCAATTAGAAGTCTACAGAATTGTCAACTTAAATTCAAATCAGTCCTCCTAGTTTAAAAACAGATTCTAGTGAAGTTTTTAATAAAGTTACTTCTAGCCAACTGACCTGATGACATCAATTTAGTTATGTGGGATACGACCATCGAGACAGAATAAAGTACAGACGACAAAAACACTATTTTCCGATATGACAAATGGACACACTTAAAGTGACGGAAAAGTGTAATGAAAATGGCGACTTGAGTCGTACTTTGATTTATTTGAAGTCAATAATTTTATATTTAAAGATTGACGAAATGAAAATGATTTTATATCATTTGTATGAAGCTATTTAACAAAAAAAATGGAATTTACTTTCAGTAAAACTGACTAGCTGCACTATCTCGATTTTGACATTGACGTAAAAATGTAATACAAAGGTGTGAACAATTTAGCATCGTCACAGCATCTCCTCTTTATTCTATCTCAATGGATACGACTGATACAAGTATTGTTGAAGACTGTATATACATGGTACATGGTTCCAATAATGTTTCAATAAACTGCTCCACTCATGCCGTTTGATAATTTGTATCATCTCTTAGACTAGGTAATAAAAGAGCATCATCTCTGCTTTATTTATAACTAGTGACATGCAGGCCTAAAAAAAATTAAAGCATAAAAAAAAAGGAATTTCCAAATATCCATTTGGCCCATTAAGGAAACCCATATACTTAAGGTAGTTCACTCGCGACAGTCGTACATAAAAATTTCGCCTAATGGTGAATACCAAAAGTTCGAGATTCTCAATACTAAAAAATGTTATTTTTAGGTTTGTTCTGGTTCTCAAAAATGAAATCGGTTTTGAAACTGCGTCGGACCGTGTGCGTAAAGGCAAAAAATCCCCGACTGAAATTTTTGGAAAATCAGAACACATAAAGGTGTTTTGTTTATTGTTTATTATAATAATGCAGTTCCTTTTGAAAGCTCAGCTTCAAATAACATTTGCATGTATATGATTATCATTATAATCCTCATCACATTTCAATAGAATAAAAAAAAAATAATTTTTAAATTGCCTCAATTTACAAATAAAACAAAAACAAGAGACATATTCGTCCACACATAAATAAACAATTTGAAATTATATGTTCTGGACTGTGCATACTCTTCGAGCCGTCCCTGAACAGTGTTCACCACAGATCACTTACTGTGTTCACAGAACACTTACTCTGCAGTGTTGTACAGATGCGCCACCCACTGGAAAAACCGTAAACTAGGGGGAGAGAGATAAGAGAGAGAATCGCCATATGACTGTCATGGAGTGAAAAAGACGTTAACTGACATTTTTCAAAAGTTAATATCATTGTTTCCTAAATTGTTTTATTCCTTTTTTAAGTTAGTGTCATTCAGTTAGTAATATTGTGCGACGGTATTGCTTATTAAATTCACATTTAGTGCTATTCAGTGCCGTTTTCCTTCACAATACTTAGCTGCCGTCTTCATCATACCAAATCCCACAAATCACGGTCTGTAATCACACA